TGGGTGCAGTCACTGTTCCCCCAGCCCCGGGAGGCACACTCCGTCACGCTCTGCTCAGTCCCACTGCAGCTCAGGTTGTCCAGCCAGATGCGGCCTGCGGGAGGGGACATGAGCATTTTGGGGAGGGAGGATGAGGGAGTGATGCGATGTTGGGGACCTCACACCTGGCCACGGTGATCCTGCTCTTCTGGTAAGCTAGGGAGTGGAGAGGGAAAAGGGACTTTGGAGGAGAATAAGAAAGGCCATAAGGTTGATGGAAAGTTCTTGGTGATCTGGGGATAATTAAGGATTTGACAGGCGACCTGGAGCTGTGGTGCAGTTAATTAAGCCACTGTTTGCGATGCCAGCTTCCCTTATCAGAGAGCCAGTTGGAGTTCTGGCTGCTCAGCCTCAGATTCAGCTCCCTGCTGTTGTGCCTGGGAAAGTAGCAGAAGATAGCCCAAGTCTTTGGGCCCCTGTCACCCATGTGGGAGACCCAGATGGAGTTCTAGGCTCCTGGCTTACAATAAATAAATAAATAAAATAAAATTAATAGGGTGAGTAAAAAGCTAAGACCTAACACTGTTCTACTCAGTTCTTAGCCATTCAATGATGGCTGCAGTTAATCAAGTATCTATTGTGAGGGCCAGCACTGTGGCTTAGTAGGCTTAGCTGCCACATGCAGTGCCAACATCCCATATGGGTTCCAGTTCGAGTCCCGGCTGCTGCACTTCCAATCCAGCTCCCTGCAAGTGGCCTGGGAAAGCAGCAGAATATGGCCCAAGTGCTTGGGCCCCTGCACCCATGTGGGAGACCTGGAAGAAGCTCTGGGCTCTTGGCTTTGGAATGACCCAGCTCCACCATTGAGGTCATTTGGGGAATGAACCAGCAGATGGAAGATCGATCTCTCTCTCTCTCTCTCTCTCTCTCTCTCTCTCTGTGTGTGTCTCTGTCTCTCTGTAACTCTGCCTTTCAAATAAACAAATCTTTTTTTTTTTTTTAAAGCATCTGCTGTGTTCACCTCTGCCATGGTGAACCTTTATGATCATTATTAGAGCTGCCGGAAGACCATTTTTATATAAAGAAACTGGGGCTCAGAGAGGTTAAATGACTGCCTAGGACCACACAGCCAACACGTGGGGGCAGAGGAGTCTGACCTGTCTGTGAGTCTTGGAAGTCCAAGATCCTCCCCTCCCCCCTCACATTCCACATTCTCCCATGTGCCTGTCCTGGCTGTGCTGCCACATAGCCCACATTCTCTTTGGATCAGACAGATGGAATACCACTGACTTCCTCTCAGAACCGGTGGAACTCAAAGGTCACCTGTCCCAGCCAATGTGCAAGAACTGCTGCAGTCAAACCCTCCCAGGACTCCCCAGCTCCTGCTGCCCACCCCCCTCCCCCCCCCCGCCAGAAGGCCTTGGGGCTGGGACAGTGTTCCCCTTCCAGTCTGACCCAGTCCTCTACTGCGGTCCAGAAAGACCCCTCAGCCCCAGGACTGCCCACCCCACGCTTGAATGCAACCACCATGAAACTGTCATCCAAGGCCATTTTCTTTCTCAGCAAACTACAGGTTTCTGCGCCTATTCCTCCTTGAAATTCGGCTTCCGAGTCATGCACGTTGGCAATCCTCCTCTGAGAGCGTTTCTGTTCCCTCTTAAACATGCCATTTACGCATGACGCTAGTCCAGGGGTGGTCTAGTTAGGGGGCTCTAAGGGGTCAGCTGCAGGTTGCACCCGCTTCTGTCCCTTAGTCCCACTGGGGGCTCAGACAGTACGCACACCTGCAGGCCTCAGTGACAGCTGCTCTGAAGTCCCTACCGTCCACAGCCGTCCTCTGCCCTTTCTCATTGTCCTCAGTTCCGGCTTCTTCGCTTTAGCTCTGGCCCGAAACCCGATTTTGCTACCTGCAGTATCTGTGACCCTTCTGGCTTTCGGACATCCAGACATCATTTTCCAGCTCTCAGCTTCTCATGAAACCAAAACCCAACTGTTCCCCCCCTTCCTATTTATTTTATTTTATTTATTTATAAGAGAGAGAGAGAATCTTCCATCTGCTGGTTTACTATCCAAATGGCTGGAACAGCCAAGAACCAGGAGCTCCGTCCTGGTCTCCCACAAGGGAAGGCACCCAAGCATCCGGGCCATCTTCCACTGCCCCCAGGCTCATCAGCAGGGAGCTGATAGGGATGCAACTTAACCTGCTGCACTGTGATGCCAGCCTCCACCTGTACTGTAATCACACAGCGCTCACCTATGTCTGGGCTGTGCCATGCACCGTTTTGGAGAATCATACTTTTACGATGGAGAGGAACCAGAGAGGGTCTATTCTCTGTGCACACGATGCACCTTGGGCTCACCGAGAGCACTGACCAGCCCTGGGAAGTAAAGATCCTGGCTGGTTGGTCCTCCTTGGGTTTATTTTTGACACTGGCTGTTCCTGATGTCCTGTGTCTCTACTACCACGCCATCGGATGTTCCCTCTCCCTGCACTTAGCCTGGACCACGGCTCACCTGTCCCCGGGCCATATTTGGCACTGTGCGTCCAGCCTGTGGCCTCTGTGAAGCCCAGCTCCCGGCACAGGACGTGGGCAGCTTGCAGCGTGAAGTCGTCATCGCAGATGGTGCCCCACTCGCCGGCTCGCTGTATCTCCACGCGGCCCTCCGAGGGCTTCCTAGGGTAGCCGGCCAGCCGGAACCGCAGCCCCTCACTTCCAGGCCTCTTCTCAGGGTTCGCGGAAGGCGACGGAGACCCCCAGCCGGAGCTGCACAGCAGGCACAGCAGCAGCCCCCATGGGCTCCACTGCCAGACACCTACAGGTCGCATGGCAGGGAAGGCCTGGCTGCCCCAGGGAGAGAAAGCGTGTGAGAGAAGCTGCGACTGGGCGAGGCCCACAGTCAGGGAGGGGGGGGGCAGGGAGAGAGAGAGAGCAGAGAGGTCATGAGAGCAAAACATACTAGGACCAGAGTCAGAGACAGCGCCAAAGAAAGAGGGAGCTCAGGGCTGGAGAGACCGCGAGAGAGAAACACGAAACAAGGGCAGGGGGACGAGAGTCAGAGACGGACCCGGGACCCAGATTTGTGGCGGGGAGGGCAGGCAGAGAGTGAGATTCTCAAGTCTCCTGGATAAGCAAGCATCGTGTTTGCATCACTCCTAGATTCCTTATTACAGCCAGTGCAGAGTAACCAGTGCAGAGGGGGGTCCCCGTAGCTGTATTGTTAAGGGGGAAATCCTGAGTCCCTGTTCAGTACAGACGCACTCACCCCCTCACCCCCCGCATGGAGCCCGCCCTCGCTGACCACCGACTGTAGGAACACCCACAGGGTCCTTTCCCAGTTCTGCCATCACCACCATTGTCCCCCTCTGCAGTCTGAGGGCCCCAGAGAGAGCAGGCAGTGACTAGGGACGCAGAGTCAGGGCAAGGTCAAGATCAAGACACACAGCAGGAGACCCAGACAGGATGGGAGGGGGAGGCAGACTGTGGGAATGAAAGGCAGAAACACAGCGAGAGAGTAGGGAGCCAGACAGCTCTGAAGATGTGAGGGCAGCTGGGCCAAGAACCAAGCACACAGCCCCACGCCGCCAGGGAGCGCGGCAGGCAACCAGAGAGGAGAGTGACTGATGGGGGCCAGGGAGCAGACGCGGCAGGCACCCTGGTGACCCCGTTTAGCCAGCCACCCGGCACAGCGCTGTGCAGAGAGAGGCAGGCCCTGGGGCCTCTGAGACGTGGGAGCCCAGGAATGGGACCTCATCCTGAGCCCGCTCTGGGCTGACTCCCCCAACAAGGAGGGCAGACAGGAAGGAATGCAGGGCCAGCCGGCTGTACAGCCTCGCCGGGGCACAGGCTCTCCGATGCCCTGCAGGGTCAAGGGGCCCAGCAGGGCCAGGCCTCAAGCTGGGCAGGGGATGGGGTGGGGTTGTCCCAGCCTCCTGCCAAAACCACCGTGGCTGTCACCAGGCAACCCGGGGCCAGGGCTTTCTCCGTGGGGGGCTGAGAACGGCCGCTCCACAGCGGGAGGGGGGCGCGCCGAACATGCTTCTCCCACTCCAGACAAACGGCCCAACAAGACAGCTTTGTTCTGGGGACGTTCCTGCTTGGGGGCCCAGGGACCGGGCCTCACCGGGGAGCCCCCAGTTTAGGCCCCTCCCCGCTGCCCCACTTGGAACACCCTGCCGCCCGCACCCCCCAGGAGTGAGCCTCCTCTCTGCACTCCTCTCGTGTCTCCGCTTTGACAATAACTCTCAGCTGGTTGGCTTCCCCGGCCCCATCCCACGCCATCCCCTTTCCTTTGGTCCCGCCACCTTGCTCTCCATCCCCAAGGCCTCTTCCTCGCGTGGGCCGCAGCCTGACCGCCCCTACCTTTGGCTGAGCGGGGCCCTAGGGGCTTCGAGAAGAGTTCTGGTCCCGGAGAGCAGTCCTAGGACTTTCAAAAAAAAAAAGTGCTCGGCCAGGGGCGGCCGGACCCTCCCTCCCCCACCCCGGTCGTCCCTCCCACGTCCCCTAGAGCCCTCCCACATTCCGCTTTCTCCCTCCATTCCTCCCCGGCCAGTTCCCTCCTCTTCGCCTCTGGGTCCTCCCCTCCCCCGTGAAGCTGGCCGCTGCCGCGCCCCTTCCCCCTCCCCGACCCTCGAGCCGACTCAATGAAGCTTTCTTCTCCCGCAGGTCGGAGGCCCGGCTGCTGCGGTCAGGGAGCTGGACTCGCAAGCGGCCACCGGGCGGCGGCGAAGCCTCCTGCCCCAGCTCCCAGCCTCCCTCCCCGCCTGGCTCAGCGGAGATAATCAGTCTCCCTCGGGTTGGCCTGGGGGCGGGCCCACAGGACAACTGAAGCCCTGCGGGCCCACTGGGCCCCTTCATTGCTGTTTCGAAGTGATGTCACGGCCTTGTCTCTGATGTCATGTTGGGATTGTGACGTCACACGCAGCCCCGGCACGCGGGCGCCAAGGCGGTCTGACTGGAACCACAGTTTCACTCGCCGGAGCCACTTGTGCACGCCCCCAGAGGGGTGGGTAGGGGTCTGGAGCTGCGCCGCCCGGCTTACCTGGGGACCCCGACCCCCTTCCTCCTGGCTCCTCTGCCCCCCCACCCAGTGCCGCCGGCGGGGGCCGGCGGGAACGCCCCTGGCCGGTTCGACCCCGCCCCCGGCCCCGCCTCACGCCCGCAGGGCCAGGAAGCGCGGAAAGAACCGCCGGGGGCCATGGACGGGGCCGTGATGGAAGGGCCGCTCTTCCTGCAGAGTCAGCGCTTTGGGACCAAGGTAGCGGGGGGCAGGGGGTGTCGAACCCCAACGGGGCTAAAGTGAGTGAACGGGCCGGGAGGGAGGGGGCGAGCGGCGCGTGAGAGCCGCAGAGTCCCGTGACGTGCCCGCGAAGTTGCTCTGCACGCTCCGGAGAGGCGTCTGCAGGCTCGCGGCGGCGCCTCCGGGCCCCGGGGAGGCCGAGCGGCATCCTCCTCGCGAAGCCCCAGACCCTAAATCGGCCTGCGCGGGAGCCACCCGCGCACGCCGGCTCCCTCCCCAGTGTCGCTCGCTCTCTCCCTAGAGGTGGAGGAAGACCTGGGCCGTGCTCTACCCGGCCAGCCCCCACGGCGTAGCGCGCCTCGAGTTCTTCGACCACAAGGGGTCGAGCTCTGGAGGTGGCCGAGGGGGCTCGCGCCGCCTGGACTGCAAGGTGATCCGTCTGGCCGAATGCGTGAGCGTGGCCCCCGTGGCCGTGGAGAGCCCCCCGGAGCCCGGCGCCACTGCCTTCCGCCTGGACACGGCGCAGCGCTCGCACCTGCTTGCGGCCGATGCGCCTTCCAGCGCCGCCTGGGTGCAGTCGCTGTGCCGAAATGCCTTTCCGGTGAGGGGGCCCCCCGGGCTAGCGGCCCTGGACCTGAGGGGGCGGTGTGGGAGGGGGGCAGTCACAGCAGCACCAGAACCTGGGGACCTCAGACCCCCCGCAGCCACGCTGAGAGAATGACAGAGTGGCGGCGGGTGCGCTCTCTTTGCAACAGAAAGGCAGCTGGGCTCAGGCGCCCGCCGAGAACCCGAACCCGCCTCAGCTTTCTGCGCTGAAGATGCTGGAGAACTCGCTGTACAGCCCCACCTGGGAAGGTGCTGCAGCCGCCTGGGAGCGATGGAGTGGGGAGGAGGAGGGCCTCCGGGGAGCCGGGGATTAGAGGGTGCAGGGGCCCCGCGGAGAGGTAGGAAGCCTGGGATTCGGCTTCCCGCGAGCGCTGGGACACTGCTCGTGGTCCCCACCCCTGCCCATCTTCTGTTTTAGCAGGTGCTAGTGTAACGGTGCGTTCCTTCCAGGGTCCCAGTTCTGGGTAACCGTGCAGAGGACTGAGGCCGCCGAGCGCTGCGGGCTGCATGGCTCCTACGTGCTGAGGGTAGAGGCCGAGAGGCTGACTCTTCTGACTGTGGGGGCCCAGAAGCAGGTCCTGGAGCCACTCCTCTCCTGGCCCTACACCCTGTTGCGTCGCTATGGCCGGGACAAGGTGCAGCCGCTGTCTGGGAGAACTATCAGGGAGGGCTTCCTGGGTCCCAGGGCAGCTGTGGGTGAGGCGGGGCAGGGCAGGAAGGTGGGGAGCTCTGCTCTTGGGATCCTCTTCCTTTTCTGCCTCATGACCCAGCCCCGTGCCGGCATTGCCTTTTCTGCAGGTACCTTAGCACTAGTTCACGCCCCCTGACTCCCCTGCCCCCTCCCAAGGTAATGTGTTTCCTTCCTTTCACGCCCTGCACAGGTCATGTTCTCCTTTGAGGCCGGTCGCCGCTGCCCCTCGGGCCCTGGAACGTTCACCTTCCAGACAGCACAGGGGAATGACATCTTTCAGGCCGTGGAGACGGCCATCCACCGGCAGAAGGTCCAGGGAAAGGCTGGCCAGGGGCACGAGGTTCTCAGGGCGGACTCTCAGGAAGGAGAGGTGCTGGAAGGGAAGTTGGCTTCCCCTCCTGGCCCCCAGGAGCCCCTGGGAAATCCCCCAGCCCTGTATGCGGAGCCCTTAGACTCCCTCCGTGTTCCCCCTGGCCCCTCCCAGGACTCCCTGTACTCAGATCCCCTGGACAGCACTGCTGCTGGGGCAGGGGAGGGGGGACCGCAGAAGAAGCGTCTCTACTGGGACTTGTACGAGCACGTGCAAGAGCAGCTGCTGAAGGCCAAGGTGACAGACACCAAAGAGGACCCCATCTATGATGAGCCGGAGGGCCTGGCCCCGGCCCCGCCCCGGGGCCTGTACGACTTGCCTCAGGAGCCCAAGGACGCATGGTGGTGCCAGGCTCGGCTGAAGGAGGAGGGCTATGAGCTCCCCTACAACCCTGCCACTGATGACTATGCTGTACCCCCGCCTCGGAGCACAAAGCCCCTTCCTGCTCCCAAGCCCCAGGGCCCAACCTTTCCGGAACCTGGTGTCACGACCGGCAGTGGCAGCAAAGCCCCCAGCTCAGACACTGCCCTGTACAGCCAGGTCCAGAAGTGTGGAGCTTCCGGCAGCTAGGACCATGGGCAGTCTAGGGCAGGGAGTGGCAGGACTGGGGTCCAGTCAGAGGGCCCCACTTGAGAAGCAGGGCAAGGCCGGGGTTGCTGATGGAAGGACCGCGAGGGCGATGGCACTGGGGATCAAAGAAACCTGTTAGAGCCAGCGTGTGTGAGCCCAGGGGAGCCAAGGGCTGGGGGCTGAGGGAAGGCCTGTCAATCCCAGGAAGTCCTAGGAAGCGAACCAACTGGCAGGGCTGGATGCTAGGCTCCAGGGAGGGTCAGCCAGCCCCCTCCCGCGGAAACAGAGTTGCTTGGCCAAGTGCACAGAAAGAGGTACTTAGAGGGGACAGCTTGGGGGGCCTGCGTGGAGGCTCAAGGGAACTGCTGGACTCTGCCTGCGTTGTTCTTTGCCAGAGACACATTTTAAAATTTAAAGATTCTTATTAAAGCCAGTTTGGATTTCAGAGGTCTGTGTGTGTGTGAATAGACCCAGAGGGGACACAGTGGCAGGTGTGCTGGCTGGATGTGGGGGGGTGGAGAGCCAAGAACGTGCTGGGGTCCACAGAGGGAGGAAAGGGCCCCAGGAGGGCCAGGCTGACCTGGGCCTGACTCCAGCTCTGGGACCCTGGGTGCAAACCTCTGTTTTCCCAGTGCCCTTCTGTAAAGTGGGAAACCTAATGGTGGGCTCTGCGTCACAGGCATGTTGGAAATGGGGCAAGTTTCCCAGCACTCGGTGTAGGCTGCAGCACACAGGAAGTGCTTATAAAAGTGGCTGCTGCTCTGTCTGCTGCTGGAGGGAGCGGACAGGTGGGCAGGTGTGGGGAGGGGGCGTGGGAAGGGAGTAGGACTTTTTCACACCACCCTTTTCCCTGTCTCAGCTATGCTGTATGAGGGTGCTTCAAAAATTCATGGAAAATGGACTTAAAAGATAAATGTCTGGGGCCGGTGCTGTGGCGCAGTAGGTTAAGTCTCCACCTGTGGCGTTGGCATCCCATGTGGGCGCTGATTCTTGTCTCAGATGCTCCTCTTCCGCTCCAGCTCTCTGCTATGGCCTGGGAAAGCAGTAGAAGATGGCCTAAGCGCTTGGGCTCCTGCACCTGCTTGGGAGACCCAGGAGAAGCTCCTGGCTTCAGATTGGCACAGCTCTGGCCATTGTGACCATTTGGAGAGTGAACCAGCAGATGGAAGGCCTTTCTGTCTTTCCCTCTCACTATCGGTAACTCTACCTCTCAAATAAATAAATAAAATATTTAAAAAATGTCTTTTGGTGCAAAAGTTTTTTGGAAAACCATGCCTAGTTTTTCCACAATACGCATCTCCACTACATATTCTGAAGATCCTGCCTGTGCCAGCATACACGCCAGCCCCGCATCGCACACACTTGGCCTGTGGGAACCAAGCCTTTGTCTGTCTGGAGGCTGAAGGAGGCTTGGATTTCAGTCCTCCTTGTTTTCCCTGAGCTCAGAAAACCTCGGCCTTGTTCCTGAGGCCTGAGGGTGAGCTGACCTCACCCAGTTGCTTACACAGAGCTGCAAGGAGCCAGTGCATGCTGCAAACACTGCTGACCAGGGCAGGGGCTTACTCCGTGTTTAATCTGCATCTGTGTGAACAGTGTCAAGTGATCTGCAAGGACACTGCTGGAGCAGGGGCCAGGGAGTGGGGCGGGGTAGCACCGAGGACAGAGGTGGCGTCCGGGCGCTCAGGTGGACTGCAGGCCGGTCTGACCGATATCGGCCAGCCTTATTAATAACTTAATAATTCTGTGGGTTCTTGCCATCTATTCAGTTAAGAATTCTGAATATGGGCTCAAAATAAACCAGGCCACATGGTAAGTTTTTTTTTTTTAAACCTTTATTCAGTGCAAGAAATGCGCAGGAAGGTGAGGGCTTTATTTAGGGGAGAAAGAAGTCGAGAAGCACCAGTTGGGTCCATTCCAGGCAGAGAGCAGGCCAGGAGCCACGTGGAGCAAGGTGCATGATTCTGAGCAGCCACAGGTAGCTTAGACAGGCAGGGGCGCAAAGGCAGAGAGGCAGCCATAAGGCCGAGCGCCCGAAGGTGTGGGACAACAAGGCAGGGGCCCACCGTGGTGCTGCAGGCCTTGTATTTACTTCCAAAGGGGAGTGGTTACATAGTCTGATTGGCAGGTGGGCGTACAGGTGAGATCAGGTAGGGGCATGCGAGCACATGGGGGCGGGGTGAAGGCGTGCTCTCCAGCTCACAAATCTAATCGACCTAATCCTGTCTGCCCGCCTGTATCACGAGCACAGGTGCATGCACGCGTGTGCGGGCAGCTGGGCTCTGTGCCGCTGACTTAGGGCCCTGAGTGAGCCTCCTTCTCGCCCTCCTCCTCCTCCTCCTCTGAAGACAGGATGAAGGCTTCTGAGGAAGCTTTGCTGGCTGCTGGCGTCTTGGGGGCTCTGCGTGTGGCTGGCGTCATGGGCAGGGGGGCCACTGTGGCTCGAGCTCGGTGGGTGTGCAGCTGCCCAGCCTGCAGGGAGAGCAACCAGGGCTTTCCCTGAAGCCGGAGGCCAGGAGACCTGACCCTGCTCGGCGTCCTGTCCTCACTCCTTCCCCGCCCCCTCCCTGAGTGGCAGTTCAAGGCCCAGACCCCAGTGATCACAAAGTCTCGGGGACTTGAGCCACCACAGGGCTGTCCCCTTGCCCAGTGTCCCTCTCGGGCAGCCTGCCACCAGCTAACTGTGGCGGGCTCCACCCTGCCTCTAGATCGACTGAAGTGTGGAGACATCTTTCTCCTGTGATTTTAGCTAAGACAGAAGGGATGTTTTTCTAAAAGCTCTGTTACTTTGACTTTAAGAAAAAATAAGGGCAAAAGGAAGCCCGGATGTTACATAGAACACGGATCGCAGAGAAAACACTTCTCCACCCTCAGTACCCTCCTCTCTTCAACCTTCCTCACTGTAGCAGCTCCAGGGCCGGCCTCCCTCTCCTCCTCAGTAAGGGAAAGCAATGGGAGACGGCTGAAGTCCTTGGGGACCTGTACCAGTGTGGGGGACTCGGAGGAAACTCCTGGCTCCTGGCTTTGGGTCAGCCCAGCTCTGGCTGTTGCGGCCAGCTGGGGAGTGAACCAGCGGATGGAAGACCTCTCTCTCTCTCTCTCTCTCACTCTCTCTCTCCCTCAGCCTCTCTGTAACTCTGCCTTTCAAATAAACCAAAAAAAGAAAAAAAAAAAAGAAGAAGAGTGGAGCACTTACCTTGCTGGGCTGCTGTGAGGATGAAAGGGGAAAGACTTCTGTAAAACCGCTTTGTGGAAAGCCTGACACCAGGCCAGCTCTGTAGATGTCCCCTTCCTTCCCTTAGGCATTTCTCCCCTCCCGCCCCCTTCTCTTTCAAGGAGAGGGCTGGGGTGGTTGTGGCAGTGTAGGCAGTTTGCCTGGGGGGACAGTGGGCTGGGGAGTGAACAGGAGCTCCTGCAAACATTAGCTATGGAAATGCCCAGGCTCACTGCCCCTCACCAGGGGAGGCTGTGATTTCCTTTGTCTTGCCCTCCACCACGGGTGGGATCTGGGAAGAGGGCACTGGGGGCGGGGGAGAGGCTGATTTTGGGCTCCCAGCTTAAATGGGAGTTAGAAGGGCTGGGGAGGGAGGCGAAGCAGTACCTTTCCCAGGGCCCGGCTGCCCCAGCTTGGGTGGAGCCGCCCCTGCAGCGGGGCAAAGGTGCTGCTCAGGTGTGAGTACAGGTGGCTCCGAACCTGCAGGGGGTTGTAGGTGGGTTCTACTTCCAGGCCGTCCAGCAAGCTCTGAGGAAGGAGAGGAGGAGCCTCACCTGGGGAACTGGAAGTCCCGGAGCCCAAGCTGCCAGGCCCAGTTGCTGGAGCGGGTGAGGACAGAGGGGGCTAAGACCATGGCGCATTGCAGGCAATGAACGATCTGCCACCTGCGGGCTGTGCTGGCCTGAGGTCTGAGTGCTTGGGAGGTTAAGTGTCAGGCAAGGGGGCAGCAAGTAGGAGCAACCCCAGGTGTTTGGGCCACTGAATGATGCGGCCCCAGAAGTGTGTCACGGGCTCCGAGAGGGGCCTCAGCGCCCCAAGGGCTCCAAGGGAGGCTGCTCTGGGTTGGAGTGAGTGTGGGGCGCTCCCCGTCTGCAAGGCCAGGACACGGAGTCCTCGCCCGCGAGGTGAGCCCAGTGCACGGGGAGCCGGCATTCCTGAGCAGTCAGGTTTTCCGGCCGCAACATCCTGTGCCAGGCACCACTGGCCCTGAAGCGAGACGCTGAGCGAGCCACGGCCACTCGTGCCCACCTCTCTCCGAATCCCTGTGGCCGCCAAGCCCAGAGCACAATCCCAGGCTCTGTCCTTTCTGCACATAAATCAGCCAGCCTGCGGCCGCGAGGCCCAGGGCTCCCCGTCCAGAGTCCCTCCCGCCCCAGCCCGGGAGCCCAGCAGGGGAACTGCAGACTCCTGGTCTGGAAGAAAACGACCTTCAGTGCTGTTCTGCACCCGGATCTCATCCCTGAGCCCTTCCTATTCTGGGCACCTACACTGGCTGCCTTTCCTCCTTCTGTCGACAAACAGACACAGCTGCACACGAGCACAGGCCTGCACACGGCACACAGGCAGCGCAGAGGGCACAGCCACGCCGAGACAGCAGCACCCAGGGGTGCACGCGGATGCTGAGACGCGCTGCCCCCAGGCTGGAGACTGAAGCACAGAGGAAAACAGAGACAGGAAACCCACACGCTCCGATTTCTCCATCATCTCCTTTCTTCCTCCTGTGCTCTGCCCATGTCTTCCCTCCCTTTCTTTGCCCTTGTGGTGGAGGTGCAGGTGTGGTGGCAGCACAGCGGCGTGGTGGGGCAGGGTAGACTTGCAAAGACCCAGCCCGACCCAGCGCAGCAAGAAGCCACTGTGCTGCCGCTGGAACAGGGTCTGTCTGTGCCGTGACTCCCTCCCCTGCCTCTCTGCCTCCCCCACCCGCCGTGACACTCTGCCTTTCGCCCTGCACAGGCACCCCTGCCGCTGGGATGAGTCAGAGTTGAGGGCTGTGTCTATCTCAGGCTCATTTCCAGCCACGCACTTCCTTCGGTGGCCCTTTTCTTTCCCGGTTCTCTCAGATCTCCTTTCCCTCCAGCCAGCCTCCCTTGGCATCATTTCCCAGCCTGACGTCTTAGTCCCAGTGCTTGCCTCTTCCCAGGGCCTCATTCCCAGGCCCCCTGCTCGTTGCTGCCCTCCCTCGCCCCCCTGCAGGGAGCTCCCCACAGGCAGGTCTCCCTCAGCCATGGCCTCCTGGTCACTCCTCTGCCTCCTCCCCACCTTGACCTCCGTTTTCTCTTCTCTCCTGCCTTTGTGTCCCATGAGGCGAGCGCTCTACTTGCCTCCACAACCTTCAGGCTGTCGCCCGGTGGCTCCTCAGGCAGCAGGGGGAAGGCGCTGGGCAGCATCAGTTCCCGTGTGGCTACCGCCTTGACCAGCAGCGTGAGCGAGCCTGAAGGCATGATCACGTAGAAGGCCGTGGCAGGGGCCCTCTGGCTGTGCCCTAGGATCAGCGGCTCCCCGTTAGCCAACAGGAGCCATTCTCTTTTCTGAAACAAGGACAGACGGACACAATTACTGCCTTATCTTCGGTCTTGGAGGAGCAATCCCGGCTGAGGCTCCCCTGGGCTCCTCCGGGGGTGTTGGGTGTTGGGAGGGCTGAGCCACTTCACTTTTGCCAGGGAGTGAGGGAGGAGGCACTGCCTGCCTACTATCTGCTTCCTCCCTGGCCCAGGACGGCCAGAAAGAGTACACCAAAAGGTTATCAACGGAGACACAAGTCAAGAACGCCCTTTAACCTGAGGTAGGGACTCACCTCGAGGTGGCTAAGAGACTATTCACTGCAACTGTGGAGTTTAAAAAATTGTGTGGCCCAGTGGGTTGCTGCAGCTTGGGACATCTGCTTCCCATTTCAGAGTGCTTGGGATGGAGTCCCACCTCCTGGTTCTGAACCAGCTTCCTGCTAATGCACACCCTGGGAGGCAGAAGATAATGGCCCAAGTGCTGGAGCCCTTGCCACTCAGGTTGGAGACAAAGATGAAGTTCCTGGCTCTGGCTCTGGCTCTGGCGTGGCCCAGCCCTGGCTGTTGCAGGCATTTGGGGGATGAACCAGCAAATGGAAGATTCTCTCTCTCTCTCTCTCTCTCTCTCTCTCTCTGTCGCTCAGCCTTTCAAAATAATAAATTAAAAAATTATGTCTTATTTTTATTTATTTATTTATTTATATTTTTGAGAGAGAGAGAGAGGTCTTCCCTCTGCTGGCTCACCCCCCAGATGGCCGCCACGGCCGGTGCACTGTGCCAATCTGAAGCCAGGAGCCAGGTACTTCTCCTGGTCTCCCATACGGGTGCAGGGCCCAAGCACTTGGGCCATCCTCCACTGCCTTCCTGGGCCACAGCAGAGAGCTGGACTGGAAGAGGAGCAACCGGGACAGAACCGGCACCCCAACTGGGACTAGAACCCGGTGTGCCGGCACGCTGCAGGCGGAGGATTAGCCTAGTGAGCTGTGGTGCTTTATTGTGAGGGTGCTAAAGTCTGGTTGTGTTGCTAAGGACTGGGGTTAGAATGGCTGACTGGGACTGTCCCTAGGGTTCCTAGAGAGGGTTAGAGGAAGGTGGTCAGAGCAGCAGGCCGAACAAGAGGAAGGGGAAGGAGCAGGGGGGAGTCTTGGTCCAGCAGGGGGAGGTAGGGGACAGGGCCAGATCAACCCAGCCAGTGACAGGGCAGAAAGAAGGGTCATGAATCTGGGGGCAGTGACTGCATGAAGAAAGGTGGCACTTTGCCCTGTGCCACGGAGACGGCAGATGTTAGTGTATGGGTGAGAGAAAACAGACTTATAAGCAGATTTTGTGGGCACACCCTTCTCAATGAGGCATAGGAATGAGGCAATTTTCTGTGGTAGTTTTTCAAGGAAAACCACAAAACTCCAGGAACTATGGAGTCAGAGCTGCTGCGATCGTCTGTGGACTGAGTCCTCTTCCTGGGAGGGCTCATGGCTTCCATCTGCACACACACACACACAAACACACACACACAGCGTCCCTGCCACGTAAAAGAAAACACACTGGCCTTACCAACTCCGACCTACACGGGAAGTCGGAAGAAATCATAGAAGAGGAAAGACACTCCCAGGGAAAAAAGATCTCATGGGAAACAGGCGTATCTGTGTTTTGTGGAAGACAGGTGAGAAGCACACAGTGAGGGAGAAACACCTGCTATGACACCAGTTATTATGGGGTGGGGTTGGGGGCCCTGTCACCCCTGAGTGTCACCATAGGAAGCTGAGGAGCCTGCTCGCACCAGCCAGTGCTGGGGACCTGTCAGTGCTAGAACACTTGTGTACTTCTCCTGGGTGACTTTTTCTTTACATATTTATTTGAAGAGCAGAGTTACACAGAGAGAAGGACACACACACACACACACACACACCTTCCATTTGCCCATCAGTCTACTCCCCAAATGGACAGCTGGGACTCAACTGGCACTCACGTGGGATGCTGGGATTGCAGGTGGCTTAACCCTAAACAAGTGGCACCCCCAGTGACTGTAGGGGGGATACAACTGGTAATTCTGGAGGTGTGGTGTCTCTTTACCTCGATGGTCTTTTTTCTGGGGAGACAGGTGATTTGGGTATGGGAAAATTCATCAAAAGTCATAATTGTAATCATATTAATGGCATTGTGCTTAGAACATTATGGGGATCCATAGCAGTTCATGCTTTCTTAATGTTTTGCTTGTATCTGGGGATGTGCTGCCTCCCTGAAGGAGAGAGGGGAGAGCTGAAACCTGATGCACAGTCTGCTGATGCTTGTCAGAGACACTGACTCAGAAATTAATTCTAGAGAAATCAGGGCGTGCACGTGTGTGTGCATGCGTGTTTGTGGTAGGGATTTCTCACTGCTGAGGACACGGCCTCTGTTAGCCTGGAAGGGACAGCAGGATGCTGTAGGGTTTCCATTTCAGGTGGTTCAGGCAGCTTCTGAAGGGTGCAGGACTTGAATCATTACTGCTACTTACTCATCTACTTTTACACTGCACCACGCATTTGGGATTCATTTTTTAATGCATTAGAATTGGGTTGAGTGCCTATTGTGTTCTTTTTTTTAAAAAAAGATTTATTTTATTTATTTGAAAGACAGAGTTACAGAGAGGGGTAGAGCTGGTTCACTCCCCAAATGGCTGCCATGGCCAGAGCTGAGCTGATCAAAAGCCAGGAGCCAGGAGATTCCTCCAGGTCTCCCAGGTGGGTGCAGGGGTACAAGGACTTTTATCACTTTCAACTGCTTTCCTGGGCCACAGCAGAGAGCTGGATCGGAAGTGGAACAGCCAGGACTTGAACAGGCATCCATATAGGATGCCAGTGACGCAGGCTGGGGCTTTAACCCGCTGTGTTACAGCACCGGCCCCGTCTATTATGTTCTAAGCACTATGTGGGGTACACAGCAGTGCCTTAGATATGTTCCTTGTCTTCTTGGGATTTACAGTATAGTAAGAGGGAAGGCTTGTAAGTCAATGTTTGTCTAAGACTAGGGACAACCAGCTGTTCTGGCTTGCTCATTTTTAACACCCGAAGTCCTATTTTACTATCCAAAGTCTCTCAGTTCTTGGCACACTGATACAGTTGGTCACCTTTCCAAGACTTGACTGAACATGGGATATCTTCCCACAATGGCACAAGACACTAGGGGCTAAAACTATGGCACTGTGACATTTCTTGCACCTCAGAGTTAAGGAACCAGTTCAACACATGCTACATGTGGAGTTGCTAAGAGGCTTTGAGTATTGCGCACAAACATCTTTTGATCACTGGAATTTGAGTCTCCTGGTTTTGAGACAATCTAAGATTCTGTGAGATAACTGGTGTGCAGGAGTGACTGTAGTCTTTCAACAGCCACTGCTAGTGGGGCACAGGGGACTGGGAGGAGATCAAATTGAATGGATTTTACAGAATGCTTTAAAACACCTGGGCTGGGGCCAGTGCTGTGGCTTGTTAGGTTAAAGCTTCGGCAGCGCTGGCATCCCATAGGGGCGCCAGTTTGAGTCCCAGCTGCTCTACTTCCGATTCAGCTCCCTGCTGATGTGCCTGGGAAAGCAGCAGAGAATGGCCCAAGTGTGTGGGACCCTGCATGCACAGGGGGAGACCTGGAAGAAGCTCCTGGCTTCAGCCTGGCCCAGTCCTGGCTGTTGTGGCCGTCTGGGGAGTAAACTAGCAGATGGAAGATCTCTGTCTCTCCTTCTCTCTGTAACTCTGCCTTTCAAATAAATAAATAAATATTTTTAAAAAATCTGGGTTGATTACAGAGACAGTGGCAGAAGGTTCTGGGAGGAAGGGAGGTGAGCTGATACTTATTAGATGAAGACTTTAACTTATCTTCAGTTGCCAGGAGCACTCGGAGGAAGTGAGAAGTAGGGAAGCTGAACATTAAGCTCTCTAATTAAAGTGGTGAATTTATAGCCTCTTTCTGGAGAGTGGTTAACGGCACCAGAGACTTGAAGTCTGGGGCCCAAGCTTGAAGATGTCACCCAGGTCATGTGTTGACCTGTCAGGACTTGTAGTTGTACTTACGACGGACAGACATGGCTCACTGCCACAGTGTGCGTCCGAGTGAGAAAACGGTGTCTGGGGGTGTCAGCAGGCCCAGGCTTTCGGGTCCTGGAATGCTTAATGATCTTCCCTTGCCTTCCTAGGCACATTAGCAGGGAGCTGGATTGGAAGCAGAGCAACTGGGACGCAAAATGGCACTCACATGGGATGCTGGGGACTCAGGTGGTGTCTTAACCTGCTGTGCCACAGTGCTGGCCCCTAGAATATGTTTTCAACTATTCTAAAGAAAGGAGCAAGGGTTAGATGCTAAACTTATCAAAAGGCAAGAGAAAATTTATCTGTGTGATGGTTAGGAATTTGCTACAGAAGGTGCCATTGTAGGAGGTTTAGACTTTAGCAAGCGGGGATTAATTCTTTAGAACAGGTGTGGACAGGGGCTGAGTTCAATGCTACATCATACTCCAAGTGCAGTTGACCAAAGACAGCCTCTCCTCAACTCCTGCCCTAACTGCTAGTTACTGAGCCTGTGACGGGAGGCGCGGCAGCCACTGTTAGTAGTCTAGGTGCCACTCCAACTCCCACTCGCCACTCTCTTCCCTTGTCATCAGTCTCACCTCAGACTCGAACCGGCGCCCATATGTGGCCTAGGTTTCAATAATGAGAGATGGGCAGAAGTTGCTGGGTGGGTCTTCTGGAAGAGCTTTAAAATATGCTAACTGGCCTTCGCCTCTGCATCCTACCTCTTTTTCCTGCCTAGGATACGACTTGGTATAGCAGCCATCCTCCTCACGCCAATATTTATTTTATTCATTTGAAAGGCAGAGTGACAGAAAGAGAGAGAGAGAGAGAGAGAGAGAGAGAGGTTTTCCATGTATTGGTTCCAAATGGCTCCAATGGTTAGGTCTAGGCCAGGTCAAAGCCAGGAGCCTGAAACTCCATCCAGGTCTCTTACATGGGTGGCAAACACCCAAGAACCTGGGTCATCCTCAGCTGCTTTCCCAGGTA